TTCATGACTATGACTAAAAGGCTCATTTTCATAATGATTATAATGTTCACTTAGTCACACTACTAAATTAGCTTCCCTCATCTTATCCCTCTTTTTCTAAGTATTTTGGATCTTCTTCTTTTTTTTACTATCTGCTCATATGCATCTTCTGCATATTCATATATTTAATAAGGCAAATTCATGTGTTTGACTGAGGTCTCTGAAAGCAAAGGGGGATTCTTATGAAAGTGCTTGTCTTAAAAAAGTACCAGTGAATGGAAGATAGCTTGGACAGGAGAGTGGTCTTCAACATGGCCAAAGATAGTAGTCCAGAGAAGAGAGCAGCTAAGTATCTTGGCAGTCAGCTTTCATGACAGTTGAGGGAAACAACAGGACAGCAGCAGAATTCACAACATGATTCACCATAACTGTAACTATTATATACATACACATAATGCATATATATATACATACTTGTAAATTGTGTGAATAATATATATACACTATTTTATATGTACACTATGTGTGTATATGTGTATGCATCTAACAGCTAAAGAAGAAGAGGCCATGAACTTGAAAGAGAGAAAGGGAAATTACATGAGAAGGCTTTGAGGGAGAGAAAGAAAAAATGATATAATAATATTTTGATTTCAAAAAATAAAAAAATAAAGCATGCAGATTTTTACTTACTAAGATCACTCTGTGGTTGGATAAAAATGGATTTAGGGATACATTAAAAATAAAGACAAAAGAAAGAAAAGCGTGAAGGAGTTATGTATTTGATGACTGAGTGACCAAATTGTATTAATGTGTATCTTTTTATGTGTGTCACAAGACTGATATAAATAAATGTACAATGATCAATAGCTAAAATATCCTAACACTAAATACACACTTACCCTTTTAAAACATTGCTTTTTGAAAGTCAAGGAAGCCTATATACTGCTGAGGTCTATAACTTAGGTGGTTTTGATGAGTGTTTGGAGCTCTCTGCTAATGAGTCAGTGTTCAGCCACTGTTCAATTGTAGCTTTTAATTGCAGACTTTGGGACACTCTAATTTAGGGGTGAGTAGAGCCAGATTCACTAAAACCCAAACATGCTGATAGGCTTAATTTCCATCCCCACTCCTGCTTATTTCTGCCTCAGTTGCTACAAGCATTTGCATCATAAAGAGAAATAAATAAGTTTTGTGTCCTAGTTTATACCTAATTCTAGAAGTACATTACTTGTTAAGACTTGTTTAAGATCCATGATGTCTCAGAGGCTCTATTTCATACTGGATATCTTTCAGTCAGAATAAAATTTATGTTACATAGCTCATCCACATTGTCTTGTTTCCTGATCATCATCCATATGAGTGTTGTCATCTCTGTTACCTACCCCTCTTTGAAATACACAAAGCAGCTCCCGTCTGACTTTTAGAAAGGAGACTCAGAGTCAGGAGAGCAGGATAGCATGAGTTAGCATAAATCTGTCTGTTGCCATGCTTAAGAGCAAAGGAAATTCAGAGCAATAAAGAAATTAAGTGAGAGAGCAAGCTTCATAGATGTTGATGTGGAAACCCACTAAGAGATTCGATAGTAGGTCAAGCCTTGAGAGTTAGGTCTGGGTGTTGCCTCGGATGCAGAACACTTAGCAACAGGCAAAAATTAATCAGGAAAGGGTGTGAACTGGGGCCAGAACCAGAATTGTGGAGGAATTATGCCTGAGTGACAGGAAGCAAAGAATAACGCTTGCACTCCAGGATCCTGGGAAATGGACAGTGAGTATGCTTCTCTGAGGACTTTGAAGAGAGAGGAGGTAAAATGGCTTACATAAATCCTATGGAAATTAAACTCATAAGCCTTTTCATGCATGGGAAGGAAATCAAAATTCTCTGCTTACACATGAAAATTAATTCACAAATTTAAGAAAATGTAAAATCTATTTCCAAAGTGATATAACTTTCAGTCTGTTTAGCGAAATTAAATGCAAAGCAATCCACATTCCTATTATACAAAGTAGGATGTATGAGATATTTGTAGACAAGGCATTTCTCTGCTGAAGGCACCCTAACATAAAATAATGGATGATCCAGCATGGAATCTTGAAAGCACCCAAAGAAAAGCAGATACAAACAATGAGAAAGCAGGAAGGAATGGAAACCAATTGGAAGAAAGTGAATACAGGACAAAGTAGAGCAACACTCAGGATTCTAAGTGACAAAACGTTTCCTAGCAGTGGTCCTGGGTAACAAAATAATGCAAGAACTCTCTTCTATTTCCCCTTTCCAGGGAGATCTAGGTGTTTCCCTATGAATCCTCCTTGCTATCCAACCTCTCTGTCTGTAGATTGTAGCATGGTTATCCTTTATTTTACAACTAATATCTACTTATGAGTGGGTACATGCCATGCTTCTCTTTCTGAGTCTTGGTTACCTAACTCAGGATGATTTTTTCTAGTTCCTTCCTTTTGCCTTCAAATTTCCTTATGCCATTGTTTTCAACAGCTGAGTAATACTCCATTGTATAAATGTAACACATTTTCTTTATCTGTTCTTCCCTTGAGGAACATCTGATTGTTTTGAGTTCTGCTATTATGAATAAAATGGCTATTGACATACTTGAGCAAGTATCCTTATGGTATGATTGGGCATTGATTGAGTATATGCCCAAGAGCGGTGTAGCTGGATCTTGTGGAAGGGTGATTTCCAGTTTTGTGAAAAAAGTACCACACTACTTCCAATGTAGCTGTAACATTTTGCACTCCTACCAGCAATGCAAGAGTGTTCCCCTTGCTCCACATCCTCTCCTGTATGAGCTGTCACTGTTGTTTTTGATCTGACCATCTGACAGGCATAAAATGGAATCTCAAAGTAATTTTGATTTGCATTTCCCTGAAGACTAAGGATGCTGAATATCTTTAGTGTTTGCTAGCCATTTGAAATTCTTCCGTTGAAAATTTTCTGTTTATATCCTGTACCCCATTTTTTAAAATTGGATTATTTGGTATATTTATATCCAGTATCTTGAGCTCTTTATGTATTTTGATCTTTTGGATATAGGATTCATGAAGATCTTTTCCCATTCTGTAGGCTGCCTTTTTTGTCTTATTGGTGGTGTTCTTTGCCTTACAGAAAACTTTTAGTTTCATAAGGCCCTGTTTATTAATTGTTTCGCTTAGTTTCTATGCCTTGCCTTTGGAATCCTTTTCGGGAAGTTGTCTCCTGTGCCAATGCATTCAAGGTTATTTCCCACTTTCTCCACTACCAGGTTCACTGTATCTGGATTTATGTTGAAGATTTTTGATGTATTTGGACTTGAGTTTTGAGCAAGGTGATGATAGATAAAGATTGAATTGCATCCTTCTACATGCCGATATCCATTTATGCCAACACCATTTGTTGAACATGCTTTCTTTTTTCCATTATATAATCTTGGACTTTCTCTTGAAAATCGGGTATCCATAGGTATAAGGATTTATGTCTGTGTCTTTGATTTGATTCCAGTGTCCCATCTGTCTGTTTTTATGACAATACCATGTAGTTTTATTACTATAGCTCTGTAATGCCTCTTGAAATCATACATCTTAAAGTTATTTTATTGTGTGAGATTTTTAGCTACCCTGAATTTTATTCTTTTTCCATATGAAACTGAGTATTGTTCTTTCAAGGTCTATAAAAATTGTTTTGGGATTTTAATGGGGATTTCATTGAATCTGCAGATTGCTTTTGATAAGATAATCATTTTACTACATTAATACTATCTATCCAAGTGTATGGAAGATGTTTACATCTTCTGACATATTCATTAATTTCTTTCTTCAAAGACTTAAAGTTCTTGTCATACAGGGTCTTTTACTTGCTTGGTTAAAGGTATATCAAGGTATTTTATGTTATTTGGTGCTAATGTAAAGGGAACTGATTCTCTGATTTCTTTCTCAGCCCATTTGTCATTTATATATAAGAAAGTTACTGAATTTTTGAGTTAATATTATATACATCCACTTGACTAAAGTTCTTTAAAAGTTGTAGGAGTTCTCTAGTAGAATTTTGGGGTTGCTTATGTATACTACCATATCATGTGGGAATAATAATACTTTCACTTCTTCCTTTCCCATTTTATCCTCTTGGTCTCCTTTTGTTGTCATATTGCTCTGGTTAGAACTTCAAGTAATATATTGAACAGTTATGGAGAGAGTTGACAACTTTGTCTTGTGCCTGATTTTAATGTAATTGCTTTGAGCTTCTCCCCATTTAATTTGATGTTGGTTACTGGCTTGCTACATTATATATGCTTTTGTATATTTAGTAATTTTCCTTGTATCCCTGATCTCCCCAAATCTTTTCTAATGAAAGGATATTGGATTTTCTCAAAGGCTTTTTCAGCTTCTAAGAAGATGATCCTGGGTTTTTCCCCTTTCACTTTGTTTATATGATCGATTACATGGACAGATTTTCATGTTGAACCATCCTCGCCTCTCTGGATGAAGTTCTCTTGATAATGATGTATGATCTTTTTTAATGTGTTCATGGATTCTGTTTGCCAGAATTTTATTGAGCATTTTTGCATCAATGTTCATGAGGAAAAATGGTCTGTAATTATCTTTCTTTGTTGAGTCTTTGTGTAATTGGGGTATCAGGGTGACTGTGGCCCCAAAGAAAGAAATTGGCAAAGTTCTTTCTGTTTATATTTTGTGAAATAATTTGAGGAGTGTTGGAATTAGTTCTTCTTTGAAAGTTTGTTAGAATTCTGCAGTAAAACTATCCTCTGTACTTTTGGGGGGATGGGAGAATTTTAATGACTACTTCTATTTCCTTGGGGATTATCATTCTATTTAAATTGTTTATCTGATCTTGATTTAAGTTTGGAAAGTGGCATCTACCAAGGAATTTGTCCTTTTTTATATTTTCTAATTTTATGTAGTACAGATTTTTGAAGTATGATCTAATGGTTCTCTCTTTTTCCTTAGAATCTGTTGTTTTGTTCCCCTTTTTGTTTCTGATTTTGTTGATGCTATATTCATAGCAGCATTGTTTGTAATAGGTGGAACCTAGAAACAACCCAGTCTGCCCCTCAACCAAACAATGGATAAGGAAAACGTGGTGAGTTTATACAATCGAATATTACTCAGTAGTAAAAACAATGACATCATTAAATTTGCAAACAAATGAATGGAAATAGAAAAAAATCATTTTGAGTGAGGTAATCCAGACCCAGAAATACAAACATGGTATATGTTCACCCATAAGTGGATATTAGGTGTAAAGTTAAGGGTAACCAGATTATCATCCACAGGACAAGAGAGGCTAGGGAACAAGAAAGGTCCAAAGAGGGATGAGTAGATTTCCCTGGGAAAGGGAAATAGGAGAGATATCCTTGGTAAAATGGGGGGAGGGGATGCAAGGGGAGGGTGAGGGAAGAGAACAAGAGGGATAGGGTTGGAGGTTGGGGTGAGGTTGAGGGAGATAGTAATGACAATATGTCTTGATGGGGGCATCATTTGGGAGTTAGAGAGATATCTGGTTCCAGGGAAACTCTCAGTAATCTACAAGGATGAACTCTACTAAGATTCCTAGCAATAGTGGAGAGGGTGACTGAACTGGCCATCTCCTGTAATTAGATTGGTGGCCACCCTAATTGTCATTAGAGAGCCTTCATTCAGTAACTGATAGAAACAGATGCAGAGATCCACAGACAAGTACTGGAGGTCCTGTTGAAAAGGAGGAGATTGGATGTATGACCCAGGGGGCTCAAAATCATAATGCGGAAATACACAGAGACAGATGACCTGAGCTCCTGGGAGCTCATGGACTCTGGACCAACAGCTAGCGAGTCAACATAGGACTGATCTAGGCCTTCCGCAGGTGTGTGACAATGATGTTGCTTGGTCTGTTTGTGGAGCCCCTAGCAGTGGGATCAGTACCTGCACATAGTGCTTGAGCTGTCTTTTGGGAAGCTATTTGCTGGGTTTCCTAGCCCAGCCTTGATGCAGGGGGAGGAGATTGATCCTGCCTCAACTCAATCTGCCATGCTTTGTTGACACCCACAGGAGGTCTGCCCCTTTTTTAAATGAGACAGAGTAGATGCAGGGAGTGGGTAGAGGGGAGCAGGAAGAGGGAAAAGGAAGAGAGGATGGAGGGGAAACTTCTGTCGGGATGAAAAAAATCAATTAATTTAAAGAAAGAAATTTGTTCATTTCTTTTAGATTTTCCAATTTTGTATCATACAGGTCTTTGAACTATGTCCTATGGGTTCTTTATTTTTCCTCAAGGTCTGTTGTTTATATCTCCCTTTTTCTTTCTGTTTCTGCTGATTTGGATATTATCTGCCTTTTAGTTAGTTTGGATAAGAGGTTAATCTATTTTGTTGATTCTTTTTGAAGAACCAACAATTTGTTTCATTGATTCTTCATATTGTTCCTTTTGTTCCTCGTTTATTGATTTTAGCCCTCAGTTTGATTATTTCCATCTATTTACACCTCTTAGGTGGGTCTGCTTTTTGTTGTTTTGGAGCTCTCACTTGTGATATTAATTCCATAGTATGAGACCTCTCCAAATTCTTGTGAATGTACTTAGTGCTGTAATTTTAGCCGCTTCCTTTGCGTCCCATATGTTTTGGTATCTTCTGTACTTGTTACCTTTGATTCTAGGAAATTTTTAACTTCTGTATTTCTTCTTTGATCCAGTTGTCACTCATTAGAGAGTTACTCAGTTTCCACAAGTTTCTAACCTTTCTGTGCTGCTACTGTTGCTACTGCTTCTGCTGCTGCTGTTATTGTTAAGATCCATCTTTAATCCATGATGGTCTGATAAGATGCAGGAGTCATTTACTTTTTTTCTTTTGGCATCTGTTGAGACTTGCTTTGTGGCTGAATGTATGGTCAGTTTTGGAGAAGGTTCCATGAAGTACTGAGAAGAAGTTTTGTTCTTTTGTTCTGTAGATATCTATTAGCTCCATTATTTACCTATTTAGTTTTTGTCTGGACAACCTGTCTGTTGGTGAGAGTAAGGGTGTTAATGTCTCCCACTAATTCTATGTGTGGTTTTATGCTTGATTTAAGCTTTAGTAATGTCTCTTTTACAAATGTGAATGCCCTTACATTTGGGGCATAGATATTCATAATTGAGATATCATATTGGTGGATTTTTTCTGTGATAAATATGAAATGTGCTCTCCATCTCTTTTGATTACTTTGGTGGAAAATCTGTTTTGTTAGATATTAGCATGGCTATACCAAATTGCTTCTGATGTTCATTTTATTGGAAAATATTTTCCCATCCCTTTACTCTGATGTGATCTCTATCTTTGATATTGAGGTGTGTTTCTCAGATATATCAGACTGATGGATCTTGTTTCCATATTCATTATGTTAGCCTGTGTCTTTTTATTGATACTGAGGAGTATTAATGACCAATGATTGTTCATTCCTATTTTTTGTTGGTAGCAGTAGTATCTCTCTCTCTCTCTCTCTCTCTCTCTCTCTCTCTCTCTGTGTGTGTGTGTGTGTGTGTGTGTGTGTGTGTGTGTGTTTCCTTTCTTTGGGTTTTGCATGTGTGTGATTATCTATTGCCTGTGTTTTTTGTTGGGTGTAGTCAACTTCCTCAGGTTGGAGTTTCCATTCTATAGAGCTGGGCCTGTGAGTAGATATTATATAAATTTGACATTGTCATGAAATATCTTCTTTTCTCTGTCAATGGTGATTGACAGTTTTGCTGGGTATAGTACTCTGGGCTAGTATCCATGGTCTCTTAGGTCCTGCAAGACATTAGTCCAGGCCCTTCTGAATTTTAGGGTCTCCATTGAAAGGTCTGCCTTATTATGTTACATGGCCTTTTTCCTTGCCACTTTTAATATTTTTTGTACTGTATGTTTAGTGTTTTGATTATTATGTGGCAAGGGGATTTTCTCTTCTCATCCTATCTATTTGATATTCTGAAAGCTTCTTGTATTTTTATAGGCAAGTCCTTATTTAGGTTGGGAAAATTTTCTTCTATGATTTTGTTGAATATATCGTAACTTGAATACTAAAAGACTGGGAGACTGGTACCTGGGTTCAAGCTTCAAGTTGAAGATCAGAGAAGAAAAGCATCCAAATAACTAGCTCTTACTTCTACCCAGTTGAAATGGCAATCCTGTCTACATGAATCCTCAGAGACAATGCTCTCCACCAAACCTCAAACTGCAATCCTGTCTCTGCCATGCCTCAGACTGGAAACAAATTCTCCAGTGGCTAGAGACAAATTCTCTAAGACCGACTTTTGTAACTCTCAAATCCTGTGATTAAAGGTGTGTGATCCCAATTGCTGAGATCATCTTTGTGGGAGCTGTTTCTCTTTGGGACTGGGTCAATTTTGTAGCTCAGTGTGGCCTTGAACTAATAGAGATAGGTCTGTCCCTGTCTCCCCAGTACTGGGATAAAATGTGTGTACCACCACTGCCTAGTTTCAATAGCTAATGAGTATGGCTGGCTTTGCATTCTGGTACTTCAGGCAATCTTTATTAAATGATAAAGAGTATATCACCAAAATATATTTTCTGGATCTTTAACTGGGTTTCTTCTCCTTCTTCTACTCCTATTATTCGTATGTGTGGTCTTTTCATGGTGTCCCAAATTTATTGGCTGTTTTGTGTTAAGAATTTTTTAGATTTATTTTATTCTTTTACTGATGAATCTATTTTCTTTATTATGCATTCAGTGCTTGAATTTCTGTCTTCTGTCTCTTGTATTCTGTTGGTTCCTGTTCATTTACCCAGATTTTCCATTTCTAGGATTCCCTCTGTTTTTGTTTTCTTTATTGCATCTATTTCCATTGTCAAGTCTTTAACAGTTTCTTTGTCTATCTGTTTGTCTTTTTTTTGGCTTTATTTTGGGATTGCTTGATTTATTCCAATTTTTGTTTGTTTTTTCCTCAATTTCTTTATGGGTTTTGCTCATATCCTCTTAAGGACCTCTATCATCTTTATAAAGTAATTTTTAAGGTCACTCTCTTGTGTTTTGGCTATGTTGGTTGTTCAGGTCTTGCTGTTATAGGATAGCTGGACTCTGGTGATGCCATATTGTCTTTTCTGTTATTGATTGTGTTCGTACTTTGGGGTTTAGGCATCTGGATTTGGGATAATTCCTCTGTTTGTCTTTGTTAGATGGGTGCTTTGTTCCTTGGTTTTACTTTTCTCTCTAGTCTTCTGTCCTAAGTAGTCATGGTTCTGGTGATTAGCATGTCTTCAGGTTCAGTATGCCAACTGTTCTGGTGTTTGGGTCCCTATACCTACCTGGCCTCTGGAAAAGCTGAAGTTTCCTTCAAAGTTACAGACCCAGATATGAAGTCCTGGGGAATGGGTGCAGACTGGGGTCCATAAGCCCAGCCTAGCCTCCAATACAGCTTCAGGAGCTGGGTCCCTAGATCTGGACTGTGTTCCAGTAAAGCTAAAATCTTCTGAAGTTGTAGACTTCAGTTGTAAACCTCCCATTGATGGATACTGTTCTTCTGTATATATATATTTCTCTTATTGGTTAATTAATAAAACACTGATTGACTGATTGGTCAGACAGGAATTGATGTAGCTGGACAGAATCAGAATATAAGTAGTGACAAACAGGAAATCTAAATCGTTCTCTTCTCTGCAGAGATGCTGAGCAGTCACCATGTAGGCTTCAAAGGACTAAGATCTCCAGACTCTTCTCTGGTAAGATAAGACCACATGGAAATACTTTGATTAATAGAAATGGGCTAATAATTAAGACAGAGCTACTCAATAAGAAAACCTATTCATCAGCCAACAGTTTTTAAATTAATATAGTATCTGAGTGCTTCTTTGGGTCTGAGAAGTATGGCTGGTCCAGCCGGGACAAAAACCTTTTGCTACAGTCCCTAGATGTGGTCTGGTTTCTGGTAAAGCAAAAGTCTTCTAAAGCTGCAGACCAGAATATAGAACCAGGGGTAAGGGGGTGGATGTGTGTGTAAGTGAGTGTGTGTGTGTGTGTGTGTATGTGTGCACTCGTGTGCATGTGTATGTGTGTGCACACACATGCACATGTGAGCACTCTGTGGTTGTTGGGCAGGCTTTAAAGGGGTTTGTGAGCAGTGGGAAGTTTCTTGCCTGAGGTTCTTCAGACCAGCATTGTCTCCCAGAAGGCTTCTGGGGCTGTGGACTATAATACAGAACACAGGGGAAGGTGTACATTTTGGGGTTACTGAGCAGGTCTTAAAGAGTATTAGCTGGCAGTGGTTGGTATGTTACCTGGGGTTCCGAAATCCTGCATGACCTCTGGTAAAGCCAAAGACTTCTTCCAAAGTAGTAGGCTGGGATATGGGGCCCAGGGTTGGGGGTGTATTCTGGTGTTGTTGAACAGGCTTAAGGGATTTTGCATGTGGTAGGCAGTGTCTTCTCTGAGGTCCCTAGGATGACTCTGACCTCCGATAAAACTGCTGAGCCTGTGGGTGCAATCTGTATAATTATTTTCTTATATGAAATTAAAGTCATTAAAATGAGATTGGGTCTCCAGCAGGGACCGCCTGCCCATCACCCATCCCCCCCACGATCTTCTGGGCTGCTCCCGGCATCCAGAAGAGCCACCCACACAGGAAAGAGATCAGCCCCTCCAAGACCCCAACCCAGCGAGCCCAGCTTCAGGTGAGATTGGGTCTCCGGCTGGGACCGCCAGCCCATCACCCATCCCCCTCCATCTTCGGGGCCGCCCCCGGCTGCCAGAAGAGCCGCCCACACAGGAAAGAGATCAGCCCCTCCAAGACCCCAACCCCAGGGAGCCCAGCTTCAGGTGAGATTGGGTCTCCAGCGGGGACCGCCTGCCCATCACCCATCCCCCCCCCGCGATCTTCTGGGCTACTCCCGGCATCCAGAAGACCCACCCACACAGGAAAGAGATCAGCCCCTCCAAGACCCCAACTCCAGGGAGCCCAGCTTCAGCCCACAGTAAGGAAGGAGACCAGTGGAGACGGAAAGACCCCACCAGCACCCACTGGAAGAAGAGATGGGAAGAAGACAGAATAAGAGATCACTCAGCAATAGAAACACCAACATGACCCCACCAGAATCCAGGGATCCAACACCAGCAAGTCCCGAAAAGCACTCCATAGATGAAGAAGAGGAGACAGACCTTAAAAATTATTTCATGAAGATGATGGAGAGACTCAAAGAAGAAACGAGGAAATCCCTTAAAGAAATAGAAGAAAAAACAAACAAAAAATCCATGAAATGGGGGAAAAATTCAAGAAATAAACAAATCTCTCAAAGAATCTAAAGAGCACCAAGAAAAAACAACCAAGAAAATTAAGGAAACAGCTCAAACAGTTGAAGGATTGAAAGCTGAAATAGAAACGATAAAGAAAACACAGAATGAAGGGATGCTGGAAATAGAAAAGCTCGGTAAACGGTCTGGAACTACAGATGCAAGTATCACCAATAGAATACAAGAGATAGAAGAGAGAATCTCAGGTGTTGAAGACTCATTAGAGGATATAGAGTCGTCAACCAAAGAAAATCTCAAAACCAACAAATCCTTAACACAAAATATCCAGGAAATATGGGACACCATGAAGAAGCCAAACCTGAGAATAATAGGTATAGAAGAAGGTGAAGAACTTCAACTTAAAGGTACAGAAAACATATTCAACAAAATCATAGAAGAAAACGTCCCTAACCTAAAGAAAGATATGCCTATGAAAGTACAAGAATCTTACAGAACACCAAATAGGCTTGACCAGAAAAAGAAGTCACCTCGCCATATAATAATCAAAACATCAAACCTACAGAGCAAAGAGAAAATATTAAGAGCAGCTAAAGAAAAAGGCCAAGTAACATACAAAGGCAGACCTATCCGAATTACACCTGACTTCTCAATGGAAACGATGAAAGCCAGAAGATCCTGGTCAGATGTCCTACAAACGCTAAGGGAACAAGGATGCCAGCCCAGACTACTATATCCAGCAAAGCTCTCAATTACCATAGATGGAGAAAACAAAATATTCCATGACAAAGCCAGATTTAAACAATACGTATCCATGAATCCAGCTCTACAGAAAATGCTAGAAGGAAAACCTAGAGCCAAGGAAGATAACTACATTCACAAAGACACAGGCAATATATAATCATACTTTACAAAACACTAAAAGAAAAAGGGAGGAGAAACAACACAAAATAACTTCACTAACAATAAATCAAGCGCAAACAAGGATCACCAATCAATGGTCATTAATATCCCTCAATGTCAACGGCCTCAACTTGCCTATAAAAAGACACAGACTAGCAGAATGGATACAAAGACAGAACCCTTCCTTCTGCTGCATACAAGAAACACATCTCAACAACAAAGACAGACGTTATCTCAGAGTAAAGGGCTGGGAAAAGATCTTCCAATCAAACGGCCCCAAGAAACAAGTGGGCGTAGCAATCCTAATATCTAACAAATTAGACTTCAAATGAAAATCAATCAAAAGAGATGAAGAAGGGCACTTCATATTCATCAAAGGAAAAATACATCAAGACGAAGTCTCGATTTTAAACATCTACGCCCCAAATACAAAGGCACCTACATTCGTGAAAGAAACATTACTAAAGCTCAAAATGCACATAAAATCTCACACACTAATAGTAGGAGACTTCAACACTCCGCTCTCACCACTAGACAGGACCTCCAGACAGAAACTTAACAAAGAAACAAAAGAATTAATAGAAGTTATGACCCAACTGGGTTTAACAGACATCTATAGAACATTCCATCCAAATACAAAGGGATATACCTTCTTCTCGGCACCACATGGAACCTTCTCTAAAATTGACCACATAATAGGAAACATAGCAAATCTCCACAGATACAAAAAAATTGGAATAACTCCCTGCATCTTATCAGACCACCATGCATTAACATTAGAATTCAACAATAACACAAATCGCAGAAACCCTACAAACTCATGGAGATTGAACAATGCACAATTGCACCATCCCTGGGTAAAGGAACAAATAAAAAAAGAAATTAAAGACTTCCTCGATTTCAATGAGAATGAAGACACAACATACACAAACTTATGGGACACTTTGAAAGCAGTGCTGAGAGGAAAGTTTATAGCACTAAGTGCCCACATGAAAAAACTGGAGAACAGTCATACTAGAGAATTAATAGCACAGCTGAATGTTCTAGAACAAAAAGAAGCAAACTCCCCCAGGAGGAGCAGACGCCAGGAAATAATCAAATTGAGGGCTGAAATCAATCAAGTAGAAACCAGGAAAACACTGAGAAGAATCAATGAAACAAAGAGTTGGTTCTTTGAGAAAATCAACAAAATAGACAAACCTCTGTCCAAACTAACCAAAAGACAGAGAGAGAACATGCTAATTAACAAAATCAGGGATGAAAAAGGGGACATAACAACGGACTCTGAGGAAATCAAGAGAATCATCAGGGCATACTTTGAAAATCTGTACTCCACAAAATTTGAAAATTTAAAGGAAATGGACAATTTCCTGGATAGATATCACTTGCCAAAACTAAATCAAGAACAGATAAACAATCTAAACAGACCTATAACCCCTAATGAAATAGAAGCAGTCATCAAAAGTCTCCCAAACAAAAAAAGCCCAGGCCCAGATGGCTTCAGTGCAGAATTCTACCAGAAATTCAAAGAAGAGCTCATTCCAATACTCGTCAAAGTATTCCACACAATAGAAGCAGGAGGCTCACTGCCAAACTCTTTCTACGAGGCTACAATTACCTTGATACCCAAGCCACACAAAGACACAACTAAGAAAGAGAACTATAGACCAATATCCCTCATGAACATTGATGCAAAAATACTCAATAAAATACTAGCAAACCGGATTCAAGAACACATCAGAAAAATCATCCACCATGATCAAGTAGGCTTCATTCCAGGAATGCAGGGATGGTTCAACATTAGAAAATCTATCAATGTAATCCACCATATTAACAATCTGCGAAAGAAAAACCACATGATCATCTCACTAGATGCTGAAAAAGCCTTTGACAAAATCCAGCACCCCTTCATGATAAAGGTCCTAGAGAGATCAGGGATAACAGGAACGTACCTGAATATAATAAAAGCAATATACAGTAAACCAACAGCTAACATCAAACTAAATGGAGAGAAACTCAAAGCAATTCCTCTAAAATCAGGAACAAGACAAGGCTGTCCACTCTCTCCATATCTCTTCAATATTGTACTTGAAGTTCTAGCTACAGCAATAAGACAACAAAAGGAGATAAAGGGGATACAAATAGGTAAAGAAGAAGTCAAACTTTCATTATTTGCAGATGATATGATAGTTTACATAAGTGATCCAAAAAACTCCGCAAGGTCACTCCTAGAGCTGATAAACACCTTCAGCAATGTGGCAGGATACAAGGTAAACTCAAAAAAATCAGTGGCCCTAGTATATACAGATGATGAAGTGACTGAGAAAGAAATCAGAGAAACATCACCTTTTACAATAGCTAAAAACAGCATCAAATATCTGGGGATAATGTTAACCAAGGAAGTGAAAGACCTGTATATCAAGAACTTTGTGTCTTTGAAGAAAGAAATCAAAGAAGATACCAGAAAATGGAAAGATCTCCCATGCTCTTGGATTGGTAGGATCAACATAATAAAAATGGCAATCTTGCCAAAAGCAGTCTATAGATTCAATGCAATCCCTATCAAAATTCCATCACAATTCTTCAAGGACCTGGAAAGAACATTAATCAACTTTATATGGAAAAACAAAAGGCCCAGGATAGCCAAAACATCCCTATACAATAAAGGAACTTCAGGAGGCATCACCATACCTGACTTCAAGCTCTATTATAGAGCTATAGTCCTGAAAACAGCTTGGTATTGGCACAAAAATAGGCAGGTAGACCAATGGAACCGAATCAAAAGCCCTAATTTTAACCCACACACCTATGAACCCCTGATTTTTGACAAAGAAGCTAAAACTGTACAGTGGAAAAAAGAAAGCATCTTCAACAAATGGTGCTGGCATAACTGGGTACTGGTATGCAGAAGACTGCAGATAGATCCATGTTTATCGCCTTGTACAAAACTTAAGTCCAAATGGATCAAAGATCTCAACATACATCCAGCCACACTGAAACTTTTAGAAGAGAAAGTGGGAGATACTCTTCAACGAGTTGGTACAGGAGACCACTTCCTAAACATAACACCAGTGGCACAGGCACTGAGATCGACAATTAACAAATGGGACCTTCTGAAACTAAAAAGCTTCTGTAAGGCAAAGGACACAGTCAAAAAGACAAAAAGGCAGTCCACAGAATGGGAAAAGATATTCACTAACCCTATATCTGACAGAGGGCTAATCTCCAAAATTACAAAGAACTCAAGAAACAAGTCTCCAAAACACCAAAGGATCCACTTGAAAGGTGGGGTACAGAGCTAAATAGAGAATTCTCAGTAGAGGAGGCTAAAATGGCCAAGAGACACTTAAGAAAGTGCTCAACATCCTTAGCCATCAGGGAAATGCAAATCAAAACAACTCTGAGATACCATCTTACTCCTGTCAG